AGCTCTTCACTTCTCCTTGGGGCTCCTCTTCCTCGCTGTATTCTTCCCAGTCAGACAATTCCTGGTAGCTCTTGACTTCTCCAGGGAACAGCTCCTGCTCAATGCAGTCTTCCCCCTGGGACACTTCTTGGTATGTGTTGATGTCTTCTTGGGACAACTCTTGGTCTCCCTCATCTTCCCACTGGGAAATGTCTTGATCAACGTAGTATTTCCAGTCTATGCCCTCCCCAGGGAAGGGCCCCTCGTCAGTGTCTTGCACTGCCAGGACTGAGTCCCCTCCTGCTCCCACCTCCTGCTCGCTGAGGGCCTGGGCTTTCACCTGGGAAGGTGAGGGGCTGCTGGGGGAGCAGGGGCTTTGTGGGGCAGGGACTGGGCTCTCTGTCCTTTCTGTTGGAACTGTTGTTACTGTGTCTGTATCCATGGTTTGTTCCAGGTTTCTCTCTTCCTCTGGCTCCTGGCCAGATCCCTGGATCTCAAGCTCAGGCTCACTCAGGATCTCATGGGTGATGGACTGGTCTGTGTCCAGCAGGGCCTTGCTGCCCTCTGAGGGGCTCTGTGGGGCAGGGACCGGGCTCTCTGTCCTTTCTGCTGGAATTGTTGTTATCATTTCTGTAGCCGTGCTTTGTTCTGGGACCCTCCGTTCCTCCGGCCAGCAGCTAAGCACACGCTCAGCCTTCCTCCTGATCTCCCTGAAGAGGCAAAAGGCCATGTCCAGCAGATCCTGGGTGCTGTCTGGGGGGCTCTGTGGGGCAGGGACTGGGCTCTCTGTCCTTTCTGCTGTAAGTAATGGTACCATTTCTGTAGCCGTAGTTTGTTCCAGCTCTCTCTGTTCCTCCAGCTCCTGACTGGATCCCTCGATCACAAGCTCAGCCTTCCTCACGATCCCACATGTGATGTACTGCTTTGTGTCCAGCAGGGCTTCACTGCCCTCTGAGGGGATGTGCGAGGCAGACATGTGGCTCTCTGACTCTGGTGCTCTTACGGTTTCTTGCATGTCTGCATTCCTGGTTTGTTCCAGGTCTCTCTGTTCCTCTGGCTCCTGGATGGATCCCTGGATCACAAGCACAGCCTTCCTCACGATCCCACATGTGATGTGTTGCTTTGTGTCCAGCAGGGCCTCGCTGCCCTCTGAGGGGCTGTGTGGGGCAGGGACCGGGCTCTGTGTCCCTGCCCATGGCACCTGCTCTCCGAAGGCTGGAGAACCTTCTGCCTCTTCCTCAAGAGGAGCCAGAGGCCCCTGAGGCTCCTCCTCCTCAGCAGCTCCGGCCAGGGCAGCAGCTGCTGGCTCAGTGTCCGTGGCACTCACCGGGGCAGGAGCTGGACTGGGCAGGTCACGGGCTGCCTCTGCCGCCACCTCTGTGCCCACACTGGGCCCCTCCTGGGGAACAGTCTGGGGGTCCCCAGCGTTCAGCGGGTGCCAGGGTTTGTCCCAGGTGCTGTAACCGACATCATCTCCCCACTGGGACAGCTTTTTCTCACTCCTGTCTTCCCTTTGGGGCAGCTCTTGGGCACTGTAGTCTTCTTCCTGAGATTGCTCCTTGTCTGCTTTGTCTCCCACTTGGGAGAGCTCTGGGTCTCTCTTGTCTTTCCATTGGTACGGTCCATGCCCTTGCACATCTTCTTCCCACTGAGGCAGGTCATGGTATCTCTCACCTTCCCGCTGGGACAGCTCTCGGACTGCCACATGTCCCCATTGGGAAAATTCTTGACCTCTCAAATCTCCCCATTGGGACAGCTCTTGATATGTCTCTTCTTCCCTTTGGGACACCACTTGCACTGTCACATGTTCTTCCCATTGGGTCAGCTCCTGGTATCTCACACCATCTTCTTCCCATTCGTACAGCTCCTGGCGTCTCACGGTTTCTTCCCGTTGGTACAGCTCTGGGTGTCTCCCATCCCGCCATTCGGAAAGTTCTCGGACTCTCACATCTTCTTCAAATTCGTAGAGCTCTCGGTGTCTTCTGGCTCCCCGTTGGGAACGTTGTTGGACTCTCACTTCTTCTTCCCATCGGTAGAGCTCTTGGAGTGTCATGTCTTCTTCCCATGCGGTAACATCTGCGCATTGGGAAAGGTCTTGTTGGGTGTCATATTTCCAGTCATCATCCACGTGGGCAAAGGCCCCCTCCTCAGTCTCCAACAGTGGCAGGTCTGAGCCACCCACTGCCCCCAGCCACTGCCCGCTGAGTGCCTGGTCTTGCAGCCAGCTGGGCAAGGGGCTGGGGGGCTGGGAGTTCGGGGTGCCCTTGTCCTCATCCATCTCTGTCGTCCTCTGCTCGAGAGGGATGCAGGGAGCTGCTTCCTCCTAAGAGCGCGGCTCTCCTGGCAGGGGGCACCCCAGGGCTCTGTGCCCCTTAGATACCCCCAGGGCAGGGCGGGGCTCTGTGACCTCACAAGGCTCTCCAGGCACCACCAATGTCCCGCATCACAAAGGGCCCTGAAAGGCACCTGCATCACAAAGGGCCACACCCGGCACCCCATGGGCAGCGGAGAGGACTGGAACTGGCCCTGGGCACCCCCAGCATTTGTAGACTTGTAGCCCCTGCTGTGCCCAGAGCCCTGGCTCAGGCAGGAAGGGGTGGGGGGGAATGTCCTTCCAGCATAAAGTGCTGGAGAAAGCACAGGGCAAAACAGTCTCTCCCCTCCCTCCAGGCACTCCTTCTTTTTTATCCAAGTGTTCTACAAAAATAAAGTGGCCGCTTAACAGGTTTAAGTACAGGCACTGCCCTGAGCTAGTGCTGCCAGTTGAGCCCCCATCCCTGCAGGGCTGTGTGCAGGTGCCAGGGAGAGCAGGGTGCTGTGGCAGCAGGATGTGTGTGCAGGGTCCAGGCTGAGGGTGATGCTCGGGAGCAGGTGCCACGCGGGCACTGCCGTGCTGGCGATGCTGGTGGGAACAGGAGGCCCGTGCAGGGTCCTGCTGGGAGCCTGTGGCACCTGCAAATGGGCCCTGGGTGTGCAGGGCACGGGGGCAAGCGCAGCACTTGGGTGAGGGGATGTGTGGGGGGGGCACCCAGGGGACCTGTGTGCTCCTGCAAGCAGGGGCGTGCGGGGCACTGTCGCCAACAGCCCTGTGCACCTTCAGGGCCCTGGTGTGCTGGGTGGGGCAGGTGTGCTGGGCACAGGTGTGCTGGGTGCAGGTGTGCTGGGCGCAGGTGTGCTGGGCACAGGTGTGCTGGGTGCAGGTGTGCTGGGTGCAGGTGTGCTGGGAGCAGGTGTGCTGGGAGCAGGTGTGCTGGACACAGGTGTGCTGGGTGCAGGTGTGCTGGGCGCAGGTGTGCTGGGTGCAGGTGTGCTGGGCACGGGTGTGAGCCTGCGAGCAGGGTGTGTGTGCAGAGCGGGGCTGTGAGCTTGGGCACGCTGTGCCAGCCGGGCACCGCAGGCAGGCTGTGAGTGTGCCAGGCTGGGAGGGGTGTGCACAGCACCGCTCGGAGCACCAGTGCCCTGGGAGTGTGAAGGGCAGCGTCGGGAGCGCCTGGCAGAGTGCTGCCCTCTGGGAGTGTGCAGGGCAGCCTGCAAGGGCACTGCACACACCTCACTGCTGCTCCTTGGCTTCCCTCCCTCACCAGTGTTAGGATTCTCACTGTGCAGCCTTATTTCCTTCTTCCCAGTTCAAGGAGTGCTGGGACAGCGCTCTCAGGCACATGGTGGGATTGTTGGGGTGTCCCATGAAAGGAAGGAAGTTAGACTCAATGATCCTTGTGGCTCCCTTTCAGCTCAGGGCAGTCTGTGATTCTGTGAGTTCATAAATCTTATTTTAAACTGCATTTTAACCCTTGGAGAGGGAAAGGCTTCATAACTCCAGGCACAAACAAGATCCTGAGACGAACTTGGGGAACAGCAGTAGCAGCTTCCCTCCTTCAGCACTCTTCCTGCTCCTCAGAAGGGCTGGCCTGAGTTATGAACACTTTAACTCCCCATCTGCTGAGCCATTGACCTCCCTGCAGAAACAATTAACAGCAGAGCCCATCAGTGGTAATTGTGGTGCATCTGCATCAAGAAAAAATCTCAGTTCCATAGCAGGAAAGACAACTGGTCTTGGAAACAAAGGCCTCTTGTTGGCATCAGATCTTTGTTGGATTTTTAATTCCTTTTAATTCTTAGTTGTGATTTTGGTTGTTCAGGGAAACTGCAAGATGTTCTTTATTTGGGAATGCTCATCAGAAATACATATTACTGTGTCTCTCCCTTTTTTCTTAAGAGATTCTGCTGGTTTAAAGGTAAACCGGAGAAATTAATCCAAGTCAGAATATAAATCAGAGTTACAATTTAATAAAAATAATACAATAAGTACAATTATGTGGACAAACAATTGATTTTAACCCACAAAACCCAGATGTATAACCCAGCAGCCTGGGGCACGAACAGAATGGTGTTTGTTGGCCCCCGTGCTGAGCCCCATGTGGTCCCCCTGAGTCCAAAATAAGAGGAAAGGTTAACCTGTTGGTGAGAGTGGTGGTCACAGTCTGGTCGAGGTTTTGGTCCTCCTCTGGATCCAACGAGTGGGCCAGAAGTCCCAAGACCCCAAGATTATATACCCTCAGGTTCCAGTGGGAATGCCCAGTACCTCCCCCAGGGTGGGGAGTTCCACAATGGGTGATTGTGAGTCTTGAGATATTTTTGGAGTCCTTGGTGGCCTGTTAGCAGCCATGACCTCTCAGGCTGGGTGTGGAGGTGCTAATGACTCCCTGGAGGGGAGTTAACATCACCCATAACTACAGCCTGAGGGGTCAGGTGTGCTCTGGGCAGCTGCTGCAAATGGTCTATTGTTAACAGTTCCTGGGAAATTACATGGAGGGTGTAGAACAGACAGGTTGGAGGCTCTGGTTCTGAACCCAGGGCCCAGCTTTGCTGCTGCTGGAAATGCTCATTCACTTAAAATCCAGGATTCCCAGGACTCTGCCCTGAGACTTTGTGTAGAGCTCGCTGGGTAATTCAGCTGCTCTGCTCTGGGTTGCACTTTGGCTGCTGTTTCCTGCCTTTGTTGAAACCAGGCAGTCAGTGTATTTGCCACTGTGCAGCAGGAAATCACAGGAGGTGCAAACACCCTAAAAATCATCTCAGTCTTCCAGCAGCACGAGCACTTCCCAACACAGTGAGCCCAGGGAGTGCAGGGGATGGAGGGCCAAGCTAAGGAAGGATAATGAAGGCTTGACACAAAGGGTAGGAAGCAACATCCAATTTCTTTAATGGCTTTTTCCAGCTGTCATCCTACCCGCCCCCCACACAGCCAGCCCCCAACTTAAACATGAATCAGACATTCTCAACACTCCCACACTCCCCTGGGGAGCAGGACAAGGACCTGGAGGGCCCAGAGCAGGCACAAGGTGTTGGGAGAGGAATGTGAGCTGACCTGTATCTGCTCAGCCCATGGGACATAAGGAGAAGAGGGGTGGGAATGCTGTGAGGAGTCGGCTGTGCCTCAGGATCTCATGGGCAGCAGGAGCCCCTGGCTGGGAGGTGGCTGTGGGGTCACATCTGTCACATCCCTCACAACTCAGTAGCAGCCTTAGATGTGGTCTGGCCCCAGGAGGTGCCCTGGAACGCAGTGCAGCAGCCATCCAGATCCCACCCGTGGAAATGTTCTCCCACTGTGCTCCTGAGAGCTCTTTCCATGTTTTTTTCACCCCATTAAGCCCAAATCCCTGCCCTGCCCCGGCCCAGCTGAGCAGCACAGTCAGGTCTGGCCCTGCAGCATGAAATGGAGGCAATGGAGGTCAGGGACAGGGACTCTGTGTCTGGAAAACTCAGGAGATCATCAGCTCAGGCAGCTCCTGCTGCCCCAGGGCCAGGGCAGCCTCTCTCCGTGGCTCCTCTGCTCACACCCGGAGGAGCCGCCGAGCCACTTGTTCCAACCCTGTCCCAGCAAGTGCCAGCCCCTCGCTCCCACCACTCCTCCGTGTTCCTACTGCTGCTCCCAAAATTCATGAGCACACAAGCTCCCTAAATCGCTGGTTTGGAGCTCCAAAGCTGCCTAAATGGGGGCTACTGAGCCCAAAATCTGCTTCAATTGGTCTTTTGGAGCCCAAAAGCTCTTTCAATCACTCTTTCTGAGCTGAAAATATCCCCAAATCGCTATCCCTGGACCCAAAGCTCCTGATATCAGGTTTTTTGAGCCTCAACCTCCCCAAATTGGGGTTTCTTAGGCCCAAGGTTCCCTAAATTGGTGTTTTGGAGCACCAGGGCTCCCTAAATCATTCTTTCTGAACCCAAATGCAACCTAAATTGCCCAAATCCTCCTGGAATGCCTGTTTCTCAACCCCAAAGCTCCCTAAATCAGTGTTTTGGACCCTAAAATGCCCTTAAATGAGTGATTCTGAGTCCCAAATCTCTCTAAATTGCTGTTTCTGAGCTCAAAATATCCCTACATTTTCTTTTTATTGACCCCAAAGCTTGCTAAATTGGTGTTTCTGAGACCCAGAGCTCCCCAAGAGGTTTTTTCCTGAGCCAAAAAGCTCCTGAAATCGTTGTTCTGCAACCCCAAAGCCCCCCCAGTCGCTTTTTCTTAGCCCCAAAGCTCCTGAATTGACTGTTATTGCCCCAAACCCGCCAAAACAGAGGTGTCTAAGCCACGAAGTTCCTGAAATTGGGGTTCCAGAGCCCCGAACCCCCAAACTCGATCCCCGTGCCCCCTTTTCCTCTCCCCGGGGCTCCGGTTCCTCTCCCACCCCGCGAACTGCCCCCCGCCCGCAGCATTTTCGCTCGTGGTTTCCGAGAAAGCCGGAGGGAACCCGAGCGTTGGGTGGGGAGGGTGTTCGGGTGGCGGTGGAGCCCGCGGGGTGGATCGGGAGCGGGCTTTGACCGGGAGCAGCCGCCGGGCCCTCTCCTCCCGCCGCGGAGACACCGGTGCCCGAGCCCGGCCCGGTGAGTGCAGCCCCTCGTCCCACCTCTGCCCTGCTGGGCTGCTGCTGCTCCCGCAGCTCATGTTTCTGCACCCAGAGCTCCCTAAAGCGCTGGGTTGGAGCTCCAGAGCCGCCTAAGTGGGGGCTACGGAGCCTGAAATCTGCTCGAATTGGTCTTTTGCAGTCCAGAAGCTCTTTCAGTCGCTCTTTCTCAGCCAAAACTCTCCCCAGATTGCTCTCCCTGACCCAAAGCTCCCGACAACAGTTTCTCTAAGCCTCAGTTGTCCCAAATTGAGGTTTCTTAGGCCCAAGGTTCCCTAAAGTGGTGTATTCTGAGCCCCAAGGCTCCCTAAATCAGTGTTTCTGGACCCAAAGGCACCCTGAATTGCTGTTTCAGGCCCCAAGAGCTCCCTAGGTTAGTATTTCTGAGCTCAATAATGTTTCTGAGCTCAATTTCCCTAAATGGAAATTTCTGAGCTCAATAACTGCCTAAAACAGAAATTCTAATGCCAACATCTCCCTAAATGAGTGGTTTTGAGTCAAATGCTCCTTAAATTGGTGTTTCTCAACCCCAAATTTCCCTAAATTGGTGTTTTTCAACCCCAAATCTCCCTAAATCAGGGTTTGGGACACCAAAAGCTCCTTAAAGGGATGGTTCTGAGCCTCAAAGCTTCCTAAATCACTGCTTCTGAGATCAAAAGTTCCCAAACTTGCAGTATCTGAGACTAAAAGCTCCTGAGTGGGGGTTTCTGAGCCCCTAAAAAAGCAGAAATTGCTGGTTTTGAGCCAAGAAGTTCCCTACACCTTTTTTTCTGATCCTCAGAGATCCTGAAATGGGTATTTCTGAATGCAGGAGCTGCCTAAATTGCTGTCACTCAGCCCAAAAGCTCCCCAGATGGGTGTGTGGTGGGTTGACCCTGACTGGGTGCCAGGCACCCACCAAAGCCACTTGATCACTGCCCTCCACACCTGAACAGGGGAGAGAAAATACAGCAAAAGGGTCATGGGTTGAGATAATATTCCCAAAATTCTGGTGTTGGGAGCCTCATGGTTAACCTGGAGACAGAGCAGCAAACTAAAGAAAAACTTGTATTGGAATAAAAGAGAGAGTTCACCGGACAAACCCCAGTGAGGTCTCTCCACTGGGCAGGGGACACCCCCCCCCTTTTATCCCATCTCACCCGAAATGCAGGTCCCTCCCTGTTTCTCCTTTGGCCAAGGTACTCCGGGGTTACAGACTCCACCACGCCCCAGCTACACCCTCCCCACTGCACGCTGGCCTTCCCCTCCCTTTTTGTTTTATCCAACTATGCCTTTCACTGTGGGGGCTGTCACATCCTTCAAAATGGGGGCTGTCACATCCTTCAAAATGGGGCCATCCTCTCCCTGCAGCAGATTGCTTCTTCTGTTCCCAAGCAAACTCTGTTTTCCTGTGGTCGAAGGTTGCATAACCACTAACTTTCCACTCTCTACTACTAAGCTAATTATAACTTTATTCCAGCTTTTCAAGAACACTCCATTTTTCCTTATAATAAGGACTGGGAGATTTTGCTATCCCCTCGATTGCTATCACGGGAGGTAGCACAGAGCAGTCTGCCCCTCTGAGCAATGCCAGTGGAATCAGGCTTTGCAATACACAGCATGACCCCCCATCCACAGCAGACCTGAGGGCAGGGACTGTCCCTCTGTGCTGGGCCCTGCTAGGGCCCCTCCAGTGCTGTGCCCAGTTCTGGGCCCCTCAGTGCAGGAGAGACATTGAGGGGCTGGAGCATGTCCAGAGAAGGGAATGGAGCTGGGGAAGGGTCTGGAGTGCAAGTCCTATGAAGAGCTGAGGGAGCTGGGGGCACTCAGCCNACTGGTCTGTACTGGTTTGTAGTGGTCCATACTGGTCTGTACTGGTTCAGACTGGTTTATACTGGTCCATACTGGTCTATACTGTCCTGTACTAGTTCATACTGGTTTATACAGGTCCATACTAGTCTGTACTGGTCTATACTGGTTCATACTGGTCTGTACTGGCCTATACTGGTTCATACTAGTCCATAGCAGTCCATACTGCTCCATACTAGTCTATACTGCTCCATACTGGTTTATACTGGTCCATATTAGTCCCTACTGATCCATACTGGTCTGTACTGGCCCATACTGGTTTGTACTGGTTCATACTGCCCTATACTGGTCTCTACTGGTCCATACTGGTTTATACTGGTCCATATTGGCCCACAGCAGTCCATACTGGCCTATACTGGTTTATACTCATCCCTATCAGTTCATACCAGTCCATACTGGTCCATACCAGTCCATACTGATCCACACTGGTCTAGACTGGTCTGTACTGCCCCAAACCGCCCCATACTGGTCTGTACTAGTTTATACCAGTCCATACTGGTTTATACTCATCCACAGCACTCCACACCAGTCCACACCGGTCCATATTGGTTCACACCACCCCATACCAGTCCATACTGGTTTATACTGGTCCATACTGGTCTGTACTAGTCTATATTGCCCCATACCACCCCATACTGGTCCATACTGGTCTGTACTGGTCTATATTGCCCCAGTTATTTCTGTAAGTTGCAGTACCCTTTAGGAATATAAGAAAGTTTTACAAGGTTTACCATAGATCTATAAGAGGCCAAGCAAGCGATGTGCTGGGTCATTGCAAGCTTTAGTAGTTTACAATGTATTGTTCCGATTGTTTGCACTGTTGTTATTACACTGTTTTTGTGACCTTCTGAAATAATTGAGAGGGGGGTGATGTAGGAGACGTGTCCAAGGCACGGGGGACGTGCCGGGGCAGAGAAACCCAAAGGAGCATGAGTCTAAATGGATAACCCTACTGGTTAGAAGGTCACATGATATCAGGGTATAAAGGGAAGTGCCAAATTTGAAATAAACTCTCTTTGATCACCACCTCAGAAGAGCGTACATCCTTTTTTACCATGTAAAGTACCCTCCACGCTACATACTGGGGCATACTGGGATGCCCTGGAGCGCTGTGGCCATGACAGGGGACATGGGTAGCACGGGAAGGCAGAAGGGGCAGAGGGAACAAAAATTGAGGAATTGGATGGGGTGTCAAGGAGGGGGATTTGGGGACACCACTGTCCTGGGCAATGGGAAAGGGAAAGGACTGGGGGAAAAGCAGGGAGGAAATGGATGGGAAATGATGTCCTGAGTGTATACTGGGGTGTACTGGGATGCATGGGATTACAGTGGGGGCCCGGAGAAAGAGGCCTCCCCAGGAAACACTGGGGTGCATTGGGGTGCCTTGGACGGTCGTGGCCATGAGAGAGGAGGGTCTGGGCCCAGAACAACTCCTGGCACCCACCTGGCCATTCGTCTCTCCCCTGATGATGCCTCCCTGTGGAGAGACAGTGAGACGTCACTGGTCACTGGGGTGTCCCCAGTCTCAGTAAGGGATGGGGGGACCAAACTGCTCCCCAGTTCCCAAACCAGAAGTTTTATGAGAATTAACAATCCAGAAAAGCTCATCCCATCAGCGGGGAGTGGGAAAGGGCATCCAGACTTCAGTCTGGCATCCTTCCCAAGAATATTGTGGGACTAGGAGAGGACAAAAGGTAAATCTGATAACCCCCATAACTCCATAACCCACTTCCAAAGCCAATCCCTGCAGGATCACCACTCACTTCTGCTGCACAGTCAGTCAAGGAACCTTCTGCAAGACTCCTGGACTCCTCTGCCTTGTTCTTGAGCTGAGGGATCCTGAAAAACAGGAATTTTAGAACTCCTCTTCCCAGGAGCTTTCCCAGGCACACTGATCAAAGGACACTTTGTTTGGTTTAACTTCAGTTTTTTATATTTCTATTTTCAAGAGTCCCGTTTGCAGCTCCTTGGAGAAGCTGCAGCAGCTCAAAGAAATGAGTTAACCCCAAATTCCCCAGAAAATGAAGCCTCCCAAGCACTGTCCAAGCAGGGAAGTTGGGCAATTCCAGGGTAGCAACTACAGCTTTTCTCCTGCCACTCTCCACACAGCTCCTACCAGTTGTATCCAAGCCAATCCCGACTGGAATCACAGCCATGGCAAAGTTCTATGGAATGGAATCAATCCCAGATGGAATTTTTCATGAGCTCAGCTCAGCTGTTCCTTTTTCCCGCCTCACCTGCTGTTCTCCTTTTTGTTCTCATCCTGAAAGATGGAAAATGCAGGAGTGGCAGGGACAGCACCATCAGCTTTCAAACATCCATCAAGCTCTGAAAAATAAGAGAAAACCAATGTTATCTTCACCCAACAAAGATTATTTCAACAGCCCCATTTCCCCCCCTACCCAGGCCCCTCCACCTGCAGAATTCCCACTCAAATCCCCTTTCCAATAAATGCTTGAAAATCAGATTTTTCCAGCCCAAAGCCACTTGAGAAATCTCTCTGTGCTCACTCTTGTAAAACCTTGGGTTTCAGCCTGTCCTGACTCTCACAGCAAGGACTGATGGGACGTGGAAATGGGAAATAAAGGATGGAATAGCATGGATTGGGAAAAGAAATAGCACACACCATTTTTCCTGCAAAGGGCTTCCAGTTCGTCGTTGCTGCTTTCCAGGGGTGATGGTTGAGGCAAGATGGGCATTTAAAATATATCCATGAAAAAGTCTAATAAATGAAGAAAAATGGAAGGGAACATGAAGGGAAAATAAAGAATAAATGAAGGGGAAAAAAAAGTGAAGAAAAAAAAACTCCCTACAGGAATAACATTCCCAGCAAAAGAAATTTTCAGAGCTTCTTCCATTGTGTTGTAGACAAATCGAATGCCAATTAATTATAACAGTCTCAAAAGGTAATTAATTATAATGGTCTTATCATTTATCAAATGCCAGTAACAATTGTTCCTCCCAGATACATTTAACCCCCCCCAGACAACTGAACAGACACAGGGAGGTCCAGTTTGGCCACCACACACCTTCCAAGGTCTCCCAAGGGGGCAAATTCTCCTTTAATTTCCCAGATTTTTGGAAAACTTGGATATTTGAAAAACTAACAGATGCCACAAGTTTTGGGGGGTTATTTTTGTTTTCTTTTCAGAGAGGTTTGTTCAGCTCAACATCAACCAAGAGCTGACAACTTCCAAATTGGTCTGTTGCCTACAAACAGCAGTGACAGGAGCAGCTCAGAGAACACACTCCCAAAGAAGCCTGGCAGGGCCTTCTCCAGGAATTTATGGGATGTGGCTACTGTTAAAGCCTTCTCCAGGGATTTCTGGGATGTGGCTGCTGGGATGCTGTTAAAGCACCTCTTTCTGCCCCAAAGTTCTGGGTCATCCACATCCCAACAGGAGGTTGATGGTTTTGTATTTTCCTCGTTGATTGAACGGTGCACTTGCCCGTCACTAAAGAACTTCCTTGGCTAGTGGAGCACTCAGATTTCCAGGTCAGATCCCACTAACTCCAGAGGAAGCAGGATGTTATTCCCAGATCTTACTCAAGGCTTCCTTCGTGTGCCCTGTGGGCAATGGCTGCGCTTTCAAGAGCGTCGCCCACATCCATCTTCCCAGAGAGGTGTTCGGGGTGGCCTGGGAAACATTTCCACAGGCTGAAAAGGACAACAGAGATCAGATCATTCCTGAAGGAGCCCGGGATTGTTTACGGACATTCCAGCAGCAAGGAAAATGTCAGTGAGGAGAAGTGAACGAGGCGAGCGGCGGGAACGACAGCGCGGGATTTTGGGAGGGATTTTTGGCTTGTTCAGAGACCTGCACGGTAGATTCCCAAGGGAAACCACCCTGAGGGGCAAGGGAGACCTGGGACAGCTGGGTGGCCCCTGAGGAACCTGTCTGCAATTCACAGGAATGATTATCCCAGCGCAGACAAACAGGGATCTCCCGACTGCCCCGGGAAAGGAACTGCACGGGAGGTGGGAACAGGGGTTGGATCCGTGGAAGGGAGGGAGAGAGACCTTGCCCAGACACACAGGGATGGAGCTTGGGAAGTCAAAAACCTTTGCCAGGGCTGGAACCAGTGTCCACACGCAATTATTGATCCCCAGCCAGGACCAGTCACACCAACAGCATCAGTGTCCATCCAAACTGGGCTCCTCACCTTCTTTTACATCCACAGCAGGAGTTAATCCAGTGGATCTCTTGTTAGGGTGCCTTCAGAGGAAAGAGTGAGAACATTAGCTTGGAATAAAAGCTGTTTAAATCCCATTTTAACCTCTATTTAAGTGAAGAGAGAAGTCCTTTAGAATATTATTAAATATCAACCCCTGAAAGATCCTCCTACAGCTGCCAGTGAATATAAAACCTGGAAGGCAGCAGAGTCCTTTAGAAAGGTTAAAATGCATTCAACACTCTCCTTGGCCACAGTTTGCCTCCAAGGAATTCCATGATATGAGTGAATAACTGGTTCCAACTTGGCCAAGCCTACTCAGTCACCCTCCCTTTGCCAGCCTGGGTTTCTCCCTCTGTCCCCCAGTTCTGTGTCCTCTATTGGCCCAGTCCCACAGCAGAAGTGCAGCAGAAAAATACCAACAATTTTATCCTTCTCTGGAGACCTCAGAGTGGGATCTGCATGACCAAGGCATTCCTGGTGTTTATTCCAGAGACAGCCAGGCAGTTACACACCCAATTCCCTCTTATCATAATTAAACCACAGCGGGTTAAAGGAATTAATCACTGCAGTGAGGACTAAGTTTGCTCCGTGCCTAACAAATACCAGTTTCCACAGGCAACTTCAGGTGGGTGGGCTTGTTTTTTTCTTTTCAGAAGGGGTAGAAAGACTCCTTTTTAGTTCATTCCCAACCAGTGTAGGCGCTGAGGACACAAATGGAAGGAGCCTGTTCATACTCACTGTTGAGCTGAGTCGGGATGTGCCTGTTCCTGAGCTGAGACAGCACTGAGGGGAGGGTGCACCAAACTCTTCTGGAGCTCCCCAAGCTCTGGCTGAGCTCTGGTTGTGTCCTTCTCCTCCCTTCCTTCCCACAGGGAGGCTGATGGGACCTGGCGGCCGAGGGGCTTCACTGGCAGCAGGGTGGGAGCAGGGGCTGGGCCAACACTGGGCTGGGGCTGCTCTGGCACCTCGGGCACACCTGAGGTTGGAGTGGGTACCACGCAGTCCCCTGGCAGGGCTGTGTTGGGCCTGGCACATGGGAGCACCTTTAGGGGTGAGAAATGACACTCAAACATCCCACAAAGTCCGGCCAAGAAACGTCCTTCGACACCCAAATCCCCCCCAGGTACAGTCATTGCCATTTGCCCTTCAGTTCTGCACGACCAGAGTAGCTTTTCACACTTTGGAGAACTTTCTAAAACTGGATTCTAGAGATACAAACCCAAACTTGGGGGTGTAACCACTAAAATCTGAGTATTCCAAGTTGCTCCAGGTGCCTGTATCAGTACTGCAGCCACAACTTCCAGATTTGGTGAACAATCCACTCTGGTTCCTCAAGCACAGTTCAATTTTGTGGGACAAATCCCATGCCCATCCCAGGACACACTCACCACCCTCTGGATCAGTTCAGCTCCTGGTTTCAGCCTGTTTTCCTCCAGGTCTTTGCTCAGCTCTTGCAGTTCTTCCAGCCTCTTCTGCAGGGCCTGGAGTTCCAGCATAGCCAACTCCTTTTTCCTCAGGAAGTCTCTCTCCTCTTCCACTAAGGATTAAACAACGATATTCAATGAAACAATCAATCCTGGGTTTCTCAATGTGGTCCTCACAAGCTGCTTGCATTTAAAACACAGATATATTTGGTCTGCACCACAATATTTAGCACTAATTGCTCACTGTCCCTCGGGAGAAACACCACCAGGACAACCTGGGCTCAAAAAGGGGATGAGCTGAGCCAGGAAGGAGAGGTGGAAAAAGAGGGATACCCAGTTGTTGCTGCCTCCTGAGGTGCTCGTATCTCCTGAAGTGTCTCTGGGCTCTCAGCTCCTCGAAGCAGAGCTCAGAGCCCTCACACAGCAGCAGGTTCTTGGCGTACATCGGGACCTGCTCACACTCAGCAGCGCCAGGAGAAGGTGGCTTGGGAAGAACCTCGGATTTGGAGATGTAGGTGATGTACCTCCTGGCAGGAAAAAAGCGGGAAAGGGTCAGGTTTGCTGGATTTTATCCTCGGGGCAAGTTCGCTCTCACACGGTGTGGCTTTAAAAACACCCCACCCAGACACTTACACTTCTTTTCCAGTAGCACAGGGCTGAGAACCAGCAGCATCAGGACCCTAAAGCAGAGCAGAGGGGATAAAACATCAAACTAAAAAAGAAAATAAAATCCGAGCAGCATGACTGGCACAGAATCCACTGATAATATTATTCCTTCCAAGAAAAATGACATAATTCCTCTGGAGATGTGGCGCAGCAGGAAAACATCAGGAACAGCTGTAAGACACACCACACTCCTGTATTTTATCTTTCTTTTTCAGTCAAGCTCATCAATCCAAACTTTTGATGAAGCATCTTTCCCCCAATGCCCAAATTCTTCATAATTTACCTGATCATTGCAGGGATTAACATTTGAACCCTCTTTTTGAGGAGCCATTTGATTCACAGCATCAAAAGTCTAAAGTGGTTTTACAGCAGCAGCACCTGGGACAGAAAACATAATATAGATGTTTCTACTCACTAAATGAGCAGAAATCATTTGTTCACTGATGCATTTTTATTGACTCGAAGCACTGGAAAATTAGTAACTTGTTTTGAATACAGTCTCCTTAAGAATTTTTAATATGGTCAGGAAAACAGGGGAAAAATGAAGCAGAAAACTTGTTTTCTTCAACGGCAAAACTGATTGAGTTAAAGATTCCTTTAGTGGAGTTCCAACTCAGACAGGTGTTTTCAGCCTCACCTTGCAAAGGAGGATTCCCAGGATCAGAACTCTGCAACCAGCTAAATTGCAAAAAAATGCCAGTTATTACCATGAAATCCTCTGCCTCCCTCTCCTCCCACCTCCCAAGAACCTTGGATTTCCTGCTGCAATCGTGCCCTGAAAAGTAACAGTGACAACCAGGATTTTTATTGTACATGGACATCTCCTGTTCCCTCCACAGCTACAAAACTAAAAAGGGCTGCAAAGAGCAGCAGGAGGAGAAAGTGGGGGGTTTGTTTTACATTTTACATCACATTTCACATGGCTTCTTGCATTTAACTCCTCCCAGTTAAATGCTGAAAACTCCAAGACTCTGAGCTCAGGGATTTGCTTTCTGGGCCCTATTTCACTGAAGACACTCTGGGCCAGTTTTTTCCATATACCTTCCAAAACACCCAACAAATATTGACCAGCAGAGAAACATCTCACTAACATTTAGTAAAAACAACCAGCAGAGAAAGTAACGAACCACGTGCCACGTCTGGTTAATTAGGAGTAATAATGAGCATTATGGGTGAGGAGAAGAGGTCCCAGAGTTACCAGTGGAGCTGCTGCAGGTTCTCTCGGGGCTCTGCCTGGTTGTGGAGCCCTTTCTGGAGCACAGCCCCTGCCCCCTGCACATTGCCTTCACTCAGCAGCTGCTGAGCCCAAGCCACGTAGAAATCCGAGGACTTCGCTCCAATTTCTCCCCCCTGCAGGTACTCAAAATACTGGTCAGGGGGAGAGATGAACTCTGCCTGCACAGGAGAAGGTAGCACAAGCCATAAGAACTTTCAAAAAAAGGATCCAAGGCAAAAAAAAAAAAAAGGCAACAATTTCTTAGTTTTCATCGTCGGGAGGTGTGACAAGGGCCAAGGATGCACTCAGAGAGCAGGGAAAGGCACATGGTGACTTTATTTTCATTAAGCTTTTAGACTTATATCCTCTTTTTCTGTCCATATTATATTTCGTTGCTCAGGTACTTCTGTTCAGGGGCCTAAATTCGTCTTTTGAGGGGTGGTGCTGGCAAATCTCAAAAACAGCCCCTCTTGTTTACAGCAGTTTTGCTCCTTATCTGCTTTCTCACTCTGGATTGTCTACATTCTTTACAGCTTCAGAGCTGCAACTGCTCAAATTCAAGGCCAACACCCACAGAGGTGTAACGTTTTAAGGATAAAAGCAGCTAAAATTCCTCTCTCAGTGTACAATGATGCAGCTTAAAAACACGCTGTCCCTTCAGCAAGACTCACGTTCTGCAGGGAATTTGAATTCCATGCCCTTCCCCGAGCCCTCCCTCTCCTCCCACAGTTCTTTGCAGCACCAGAAACCGCCCCATTAATACTTTAGGACAGTTTAATTCCCAAAAAACGTGGCTTTACCCACCAGCTTGACGCAGTACTTGACGAACCGCGGGTCCTGCTGGTACCTCGTATCGCCCAGGAACCTCTTCACCAGCTCCTCCAGGAGCCTGGGCCAGAGGGATTGCTTCTCCTGGAGCGGGAGACCTCCCTCTGCCCACTGAGCGTACCTGGAAACGTCCCGGGGTCAGCGCCAAGCCAGGGAACTGCCCGAGAGAGGGATGGGGCAGCTCCGGAGCCAGGGACGGCGCGATCTCAGAGATGGGGCAATTCCAGAACCGGGGCAATTCCTGAGCCAGGAATGGGGCAACACCAAGGCCGGCCCCGCGCTCACCTGTCCCAGGGCTCCAGCGGGTCTGGCCCTTGGTAATTCCGGATCTGAGCCTCGTGGCTCCTGCAGGGAAAAGGGCAGAGAAAAGGGTTGGGATCGTGGAGGGGCGGGAAGAGCCCGGGGGGGAACCGAGCCCCGTGAGCCCCCGGGCCCCAGCACAGCTCCGTGGGCCGCGTCTCGTTATCCCGATCCCAATCCCACTAATCCTGGTATCGCTCTCATCCCCTGTCCGCGGCCATCCGCTCCGACCGCTCCCGCCATTCAAACTGGCCGCACCACGGCCCCCCTACGCCTGCCCATTGGCTACCCTGACCTGCGCACCGCTCTCCCATTGGTCGCCGCGCCGCTCGCCCCGCCCCAATCGGCAGTGCCACGGTCCCATTGGCTGGATCGTCTGTCAATCTCGCCGGGACCGCTGGCGTGAAGTTCGAGGGGGGAAACGAAACATGAACTAAAATGAAAAATAATAATAAAAAAACCCGCGGAAAATAAAATAAAATAAAAAATATAAAATGGAAAATAAAATAAAATAAAATAAATAAAGTGGAAAATAAAAAATAAACAAAAAAATTAGAAAATAAAATTAAAGAGAATAATGAAACAAAAAATTTAAAAGAAAGGAAAATTAACCACTGGTTGTGGTTGGGAATGAGCAGCTGGATCTCCCCCAAGGCTGTGCTGTGGATTTGGGTCCTGTCTGGCCACAGGTCTGTGCAGCAGCTGGAGCCTGGGAGGCTTTGGGGGCTGTGTTGTCTCAGCCTCCTGTTTTATTGTCACTGGGGAGTGGCACCTGCATCCCACTGGAAGGAAAAACTGGGGAGAGAGTGGTAGGTGGGAGGACCATTTCTAGATGTGCCCTTGGATTCCCATTCCTCCTGGTGGGTCTGTGCTGCCTCAAGTACAAAGGAAGTAACTCTTGGAGTAGCTGTTTGTTCACCTGTTGGGCTTGGACATGACATTCCAGGGAAGCTGCACTTGCTGCAGTGGCTGGAGTGAGAAGCAGCTGAAGGTGTTTGCTCTCTGCTCGTTCCCCACCTTCCCCTCAGTTCCCTGCAACCCAGGTACTCACACCTCACCTTTGCATTTTCCAAGGGAAAAGCCCTTGGAATGGTCTCTAAGTGTGGCAGGGAGATCTTCTGTGGCTGGAATTTATCGGGAGGATCCAGTCACCGAGGAGAGATCCCAAATGTCCTCCCCTGGCTCCCTGAGTTGAGAGGATGGTGTTCCTCCAAGCCCAGATGCAGTTTGGGTGGTCCTGTGTGCACCTCTTGCTGGGAATGTATTTGTGTTGCAGCTCAATAAAGTCCATTTCAGTGGTGATTGGGTATGACTTTTGTGTGTAATAAAAGCCCCTGCCCGTTCCTCTCGACTCTTCCCCCTCCTTTTTAACCCCAAACCTTTCCCTTCCAGCCCACTACAGATTCCCTGGTTTTTAACACAAACTCTTCGTTCTCTCCTCTAGAGATTCCCTCAGATTTAACCCCCAAACCTTTCCTTACCCCTCCAGGGAGGGAATGGACATCCTGAGGTGAACAGTGGTGGACAGTTAAACCTCCCAGGCACCGCCAGCCCCCTCCCCAGAGTGGCAGCACCAGGAGCAGAAAAGGCCTTGTCTCTGTGTAAGCCCCACCTGGCAATAACAAAAACACCTCTGTTATCATCCCTGTGTTCAGCACAAATCCCAAACAGCCCCACACCAGCCCCTGGGAACAAAAGGAACTCTGCCCCAGCCCAAACCAGCACACAGGACCCAAACTACCCTGGAACTTCCTCCTCTGAGTGGTAAAGGAGACAGGGAGGAGTGGGGCCAACCACAAGGGCCAGACAGTGTTCAAAACAACTGCCATCAAAACCTGACAGCACTGAGGGAGCTTTCATCAGAAATGGCCTTGACTTCTCTACCCTCAGCTCCTGCAGAGATGTTTCTGATACAATGGCTTTGGAGCCCAGCCCCACGTGTTGCTGTATTGCACCTCCTTTATCTCAGCTTGTTCTAACATTTGATCACCCTCATTGCAAAAAGCTACCAAAAACCTTTTTTCACACATTTATTGGGAATTTCTCATGTTGCAGCTTGGGCCTGTTACCTCTTACCTGATGAAGGCACATCTCCAAGAAGATGGAGAGAGAAGTGTAGCAAGGACACTGAGCCCCAAACCAGTCCCTGAGTCTTACAGACATTGTTACCTGCGGGGGTGGTGGAGTCTCCATCCTGGAGGAGGTTCTGGCCACCCAGCTCCAGGTGTCCCATCTGGGTTGGACCAAATGATCTCTGGAGGTCCCTTGCAACCTCTCCTTGTCTGTGTTTCTGTGATTCTGTACAGGGCACGAGACATCTGAAAACACAACTTTCAGAATCTACAAAGTCAGATGTAGCTGGATCTCTACCCAATTCCTGTGTGGGTTTAATTTTCACTTCCTCTTGGCTCTTTAATCTTTTGCAGGTGTGCTGATAGAAAGTGCATCAGAAGACGAGGGCACTGAT